TCATGCATGGATGGATTTTGTTCAGATTTAGCACAATGTGTTGTACATATGCAGGTGCATTTCGGTCATGATCTGCTTTGAATGTATATGTCACTCAAATATGAACGGAACGGGGACGTGTCATTGACAATGACTTGTTGTCATTATGCATTGTTTCTGTGCAGTGTTTTTTAAACATATTTTTTAGTTTTTTTGTAGCTAATGGGATAATACTGTTTTTTTTGCAAACATCACTAATTTCTAAAAGGTTCAGTAATTTTTTTATGCCTGTGGTCCAATTACTGATGTTTTCTTTGTCCAAATTGGTGCCAAGTTTGTAGGCCTCAGAGATCAGTGTTTTCATCCATGTTTTATTTTCAGCCAGTAATGAATCATACGTTTGATGCTTGAGATAAGTGGATATAATAATGTTATTACGAAGATACCTCAAAGTATGCACTTAGACAGTACACTGTGCATCGACCTCCGCTGTGTGTCGGTCGATACTGCTGCTGTACCTTATATTATTGTAACCCAGTCAGTGGAGGAAAACACTGAATACTCAAAATAAAGTAATTTTATTTCCACTGGTAATACAATAAATAATACATCTTTACATGGGTTTGACAAACTAAATACATAGTGGGGGGAATTCAAAAAGAACAACAGGTGTGGACCTGACAAAACGTTTTGCTCAGTTTAGGAAGTTTAAATTTATTTTTATTTCTTGTTATATAAATGGCTCTGTGAGTGCCTGGTAAATATATCATGGAAGACTGGAGGTAGCAAATCATTTACATACATGAAAGTAGCAGTTCATATTTGTACATATCAAAGATATGGAATTTTTTGAAAAGAGTATGTGTATTAGTTCAATATGGACTGTTGCTGATACGAAGATCTTTTTTTTTTTGAACAAGATATAATCTGTTTAAGTAAATGTTCATGGTGGAACCCCATGCTAAAATTCCATAGCTCAGATATGGAATGATTTAAGTGCAATATAGTGTAAACAAAGTGTACTCAGGTAGGAAGTGTTAAGAACACCAAGATTTCTTGAGCACACAGAGAATATAGTCAATGTGTTGCTTCCATGATAGGTTTTCATTTATACGGACACCAAGAAAGTTTATATCATGAACCTGGTCCATTGGAGTTGAATCAAGATTTACACCAATATTAATATCTGATCTAATAATATCTGATTAAGTTTAAATAATCATTTAAATTCATCCATATCCAGTTTTACTACTGGTAACTTGTGTTTTAAAGAGCAATAAGACTTCCCTGTATATTTCAGTGTGTATGCTTCAGAAAAATATAACCCACTCTGATTTACACCATTGAACATAAATTTCTTTCAAACTTTTTACAGACTTACAATTGGGACCCTAAGGAGTCTGCTGTACTCTCCCTAACCACCTGGCAGCTAGTATGCATATGTCTTTGTTTCATCCATTCAAGGAGACAACCAGGGGCGGCAGATTTCCATAGTTATGTAAAAATTATAATCGATAGTAAAAAAAACATTTATTTTACTACTCTAAAAAAACCATTTAAACTATCAGCAATTTGGAGACAATGGGAATCTAGTCACAAGTTCACATAACTTATACTAGCATCTGACAATCTAGGTTTGTAAGAGTTCTGTTTCATATTTTTTTCCTACTGTTAGTTAACTATCGGTAGTCAATCCATGAGCGAGTGCTGGCGTGCTTGTCAGGTTGCCAAGTTGAACTGAAATACAAAACACACTAAGCAGCATAGAAAAATAAATGGAGCACATTTGCATAGATATAACACTTCAAACTACACATAGCTACACACACACACTGAACAAAAGTTACATTTGCATAAAGTACATTCTCACTTGAGTGATTGCAAAGAACTAGTAAAACATACAAAGATAGCTTCATTGCCAATAGTCTTGCCAAGTTTATTCATTCCATTCTAAATTATTTCTAAAACTTTTTTTTTTTTCCCCCTTGTGTTTTTATTGTGTTGTTAATAGATTAGTTTCTTGACCATGGACAATGTATTGTAGATACAAAGTTTTGTGTCAAATAAATTATCTTATCTTACAAAGCTGAAAGCGACTGACAATGGTTAAAATATTATATTTAAAAATTGTACTTATTCCAGTGTTGTCAACATAGTGCATTTACTGATATTAGGGAATAAACAGACAGCTTAATCTCAATACTGTAAAATCTGTATTAGAAACAGTGCTTCTATTAAAGCATCAACACAAGAGAAATGGTAACATTTTGGTTCTCAATGTTTCAGAAAGAATTGGTGCGATTTCTATCAATTGGGAAGGTCCTAAATGTATTTATTAAATGTACTTCAGGTTGCTCTCAGTGCCTTTCTGTTGGGGATATCAAGCACAGAGGGGTACCAGTGAGGTGTGTCAACTGTATGACCTACTTGAACAGGGGGGGGGGGGGTCAAGAAGATCACAACATGGAAACCTTGCAGTGATTATGTGCTGAACATAATATTATATCACATCTGGGGTATTCACAATACACTTGCTGATACACTATCTCAAGTTTGACATAAGAGTGCAGAACTTATAAAAAATAATTGCCACAGTGTTGTATTTGATCTGTTGCAAAAGATAATCCATCTATTTACTATCACACTGAATTCCACACACTCTTGTCTACCAGGTTGGTGCTATGTCGTTTATTTTGGTCTGTATGTTTTAAATAAGTCTTCCAGTGCTAAGTTATATTCTTACAATGACAGTATCGTTCTTGCCAAGCCAAAGGCGGACTCATGGTTTGTGCAGATGACAATGCCTCGGGTGGGTGGGTGTGCCTGTGACACAAAAGCTGTTCTATCATCATGTGTTCAGACTATCCTTATGCTTAGATCAAACAAGACATTTCAGAGAGACCAGTCAATACATCTTCTGTATACCTAATACAGATAATAAAGTACAATCTATAGACCATACCATCTACCAATCATTGTTGGTAGGAACACAATGCAGAGGATAATTCCATTAAAGCACCTAGCTAGCAAGGTGTTAAATCAGATGTGGGTTATCTAGATTAGTCACACAGGCTTGGTCTTGTCATGAGTGTTGGCATATTTTCACACAATTCCCAAGAAGGTTATGGTTGCCATGGAAATAACATTTCCAGGAATGATTTTTTTATTCTTACCTCAAAAAGTATTGATGAATTTTCATGAAATTTCTCAGAAGGGTGGCTCTTGATACAAACATGGTCCCTTCAAATGTTAGTACAGATACATGTACGATCACTATAGATACACCAATTTTGGGAATGATTTTGTTATGACTAAAATGTTATTTATGGATTAATTCCCATGAAATATCAGGAGATCACAGGGCGCAATCGATAAGGTTCTGGTACATTGTTGTATTCACCTCAATAACAATTTTGGGAATGATTTTGTATTTATATCTCAAAAATTCTAGATGGATTAACATATAATTTACAGAAGGTGTCACTCTTGATATGGACCAATAAATCAGACTTTTGTTGAGATTACGATATGGTTACCATAAAAACAATATTTTTCATTTACAAATGTATAACTCAAACAATCATAAAAAGTATTTTCATAACATGCAATGACCAATTGATGAAGAGATTCTGGTTGGCATAAAACACAATATATTGGGGTATGAGCTGCCTGGATGAGGTATGCACTCTCCAAGTGATTTTCTAGTTATAATGTAAATGTGCTGGTGTAATTCTGCTCTTATAATCATCAAATTCAATAATCATTGGAGTAGACACATTTATTAAAGTCAATTTGGTTCATGTTTTTGTTTTTTCTGTTTTAGCAAAACAATTTTCTTCATTCAAACAATATTTACCCCAAAGCCAAATAGGATAATTTGTAAGTTCATGTTGGACGAAGTCTGTAACTGGGTTTGGGTTTCATCCACCCATCCACGTCTGTCTGTTTGTCCATCATCACAACTCAGAAATGCCTGGATCAACGTTTGTTCATCATTGGAACAGACAATGAGATACATTTGCGTGCCATTTTTCATTTAGTTGACCACCAACTGGCATTCATTTTTGTCTCCAAGAGCACCAAAAATCAACAACTGATCTCCAACAGTTTCTCCTTATTGCCTGGACCGATTTCTTTCAAAACATCACTCGCAGTTTGTTAGTAATGCATGTCATTTTGGGATTTGAATAAAAATGGTTGCACAAAACTATTGTGAAGTTTATGTTACTTTCCATACAAATTTTACTCAACACCTTTACTAAAATCAAACCAACATTCACTTTTATGATCTTTCATTCCTTACCCATTTCCAACTAACAATGATGACCCTCCAAGTCCATCCAACACTTGTCTACCAAATTTTACAATTTTTCAGCCAACTATTACCGCTTATATGTACAACCTTTACCAAGATCCAGTCTTTTCATACAAGTTTTTTTCACTTCCCAATCATTTTTTCCACTTGTACCCCATTCCAGTACTCCCAACCAACTTTACCTTTTTCCAGCAAACATTAATAACCTCCAAGGAATGTGCATTTCAATTTCCATTGATCAAGTGGATAAATATATTTCTCAGTTTTGTGATGGGCACACTTTGCAACCCTTCATAATACATAAACTATTAGAGTTGAGCTGAAAGGAGCATAATATACGGATTATGATATTTACCGGTAAAACAAGCTGAGTTCAAATTAGTTTTTATAAGACATCAGATACCTTAGATCTTTGTAAGTGATTTTTGTAAATTTATTAGGAGTCCTACTATCTAGATTGTCAGTGATTTTTCATTTGTCAGAGTGCTATAAAATCCTGAAATCAAGAAACATTCCTAGCAGAGGATGATGTCAATTAATCAATGCAAACACACTTGTACTCGCAACAAAGCAGAAATTTAAAATCAACTCGAAAACAACATTTATAATGTTTATTATTTTCCCTCCATAATTTATTTTATTGAGATTTCTTTCCAAAATGAATGTTGATATCAATCATCTATGAACACATTTGATTAAAAAAAGCAGAAAGAAACCTGAACACAAATTGACTCTAACAGAAGAAAAATGGAGAAAATTATAAAAAGCAATACATGTCACCCTTGTTGTCATGCTGGGATGTTGTATGCTGCAGATGACTAAGAAGTAATGCCAACAAACTAGGGAGTCGTATAATGTTGAAGTCTGGATAGTATTATTGACAAGCTGGGGAGTCGTATGTTGTAAAGTCATAACATGACTGGGAAACGAGTGACAAGTTTAATTAGTAGAAGACATTTGTAGTACCATCACTGCACTCAGATTTGGCATTAATCCTTGCATTCCTGTTCATATAAATCATAGATATGCTTTCCTCAAGCTTTCAATTTCTTTTTTTGTGATCTGACTTCCTGGTCATACTGTTTCCTTTTCTCAGCTAATTTTCGAGCCTGCAACATTGATGAAAAAACAACTCAGATTGTGAACATGAATGAAAAAGGACTGCAATTGAATAAAATTGATATTTATTATTCAACAATTACTGACAGATATTCTATCACTTGATATTTACCTCTTTTGCTTCCATTTTCTTTTTATACATTATTTTATTATAAAGGCGTTTTCTCTTCTTTGGGATCATCATCTCTGCTAGCTTCCTCTCTTCTTTCTGATCATTTTCTTTGATTCGGTTTTCATCCTCCAACTCAACCTTTCCAGCTTCAACCTTCATCTTATTTAGAAAAAACAATAAAACCAAAATAGTTTATCAACCTATTTAACTTTACATAAATATAGTTTCTGTGAGTGTTCATGACAGTCTAAGAATATCAGAGATACAACTCCCAAACTGCATTCAAGAAAGCAAAAAGGCAACTATAAGTCAGCCACTTAGAGTCCAATCAGACATACAAATAGATGTACAATAAACGTCCATGAAACTCAATCTATGCATGACCAAGATCCAGAATTCCAGAAATGCTTCATTTTGATGAATTTTTTACATTAATACAACCATAATTCGGCCACCTCGAATTGAATCATAAAGCGAATGGATGTTGCCCAAGATATGTGATGTATTTGTGAAGTTTGAATATGATTGGACCAGGCATATCTGAGGCATATCTAACAAATGCATGCACATGGGAACCATCCAAACAGGATTTAATGAGTTTGAGTTTGAATTTGAGAACACAATACAAATTACAGCTTGCCATATAGTTGTGACCTTTGACTTGGAATAACATTTTACAAGCTTTGACAGAGAAATAACTCCAAATAGATAGATGCACATGGGGACAAAAATGAACGAGACCCGAAACATACATCTCTTTTTTAGGAGGCTAAAACTATTTAAAGGTTACAAACATGATCTATGCTATTTATGATTTAAACTTACCTTGCGTTTCCTCTTTTTTGGCTTTTTCACTTTTACTGAATCTTCCATCATTGCTTCTTCTTCCTGTTCTTCATCTATGGAGAGATATAGATATGCCACAAACTTGGTGCCAATCTTGACAATGCACTTTTTTAGCAATAAGAATACTGTTAAACCATTATATTTTCACTAGCATTTTATTTAATTTAGTGAACTTAAAAAATTGAAAATGACTGAATAATTAATGTGTTAATACTGAAAGGGTTTCAATGACTCACATCAACTTTTCCAATGTTTATTTACCATCCAAATCGTTATCAATATTTACCTTGTTTGTGTTTTGCGCTCAATGCTTGTTTTTCTGGTGGTACGTACTCTCCTTCTTTTTCTTCCACAAAAGGTGAGAGATGTGGTGGCAATAGAGTACCAACAAAATAATCCTCCACTGGTAGTAATGTGCCTGCGTTGACACTGTCAAACACCCACTGTGGCTGCAGGTAATATCTACAACACAGTTACAACTATTACAAATTGATTATTGTAAAATTTAATGCAATAAAACAAGAATTTTTGAACTTTGGAGAACTGATAAATATTTCATTTTTGTGCTTCTTTTTAGCATAGTGTGAAAATGGACTTTTCAATGCAATGCATTATGGGAGACCTATCGATAATTATTGTATATAATATATACAACAAGTGACTTTATGGTTAAAATAGCTCATGATATGAAAAAAATCTGACATAGGTCCTTCCAAGGTACCTACATACCAAGTATCGAATCATTTGGTCTTAGTTTTCAAGAATGTGTCGAAAATGCAATTATTGATGGACGGTATACGACGGACGGTATACGACGAACAATAACCTACCTGAGGAGCTCCACTGTCATCTATGATGACAGGGGAACTAACAACTGAAGTATAAGTCAATTTTTGGAAAATGTTCTAGCAATATAAAAACCCATGCCAATAATAACATCTGATTTTTGAGAAATAATTTACCCAAATAAAACATAGTGAAAATACCAATTATGACCATATTCTATGACATTTTACACTCTTGTATCTCAAAAAATTGTCTGGTTTATTTTTAGCATCTTGATGGCATAATGAAGGATAACGATACCATACATTTTAATTTGGAGACTCCTTCAAGAAACACTTGATTAATACTTGGTTATTGTGCTACATTTACCTTGACAGATATTGCTTTTCTTGATTCGGCCTGTCAACAATTTGATGTGTGATGCTTTCATCTTTTTCCTCATATGTTGCTCCCATACATATTATCTTATCCCAAGATACCAAACCACCAAAACATCTGAAAGAGAATTTTAATAATAAATATATTATCTTATCCCAAGATACCAAACCACCAAAACATCTGAATTTTAATAATAATCAATCAATCCTTGTCAAATTATGCACTCACAACCCTACTTTTGTATGAGTCCTTTTTTCCCCATCATGAATGGGTAAGCTATGGTTCAACAATGAGCTGTGAAAGTTTTGAATAATTTCTCATTTATTTACTTTTCAAACCATGATAATCACAACTTTTTTGTACTTTAATTGACAATTTTCAGGAAGTTGACAGAATTGTGTCAGTATCAACCAGCATTCCAATTGCTTATTTAACAGACTTCACCAGACAGATCAGAGGGTATTGTCTTAGGTGAAATCAAAGATCATGGCGGAAATCACTTTGCATTAAATGTTTGTGTACAATTGGAAGCATTTGACAACAAAGAAATTGGGGAAAATCATAAAAGTTCTGATGGTAGGTAAATAATATTTTAATTAAATATATTTTGAGAATACATGAATTTGTTGTTCACTATGGAAATTATGATCTCACAAATTATTTTGTGAAAAAGTGCAATAGTCTCCAAACCTGAAACACCAAGACACGCTGGCCACAAACCTAAATATCAAGGCATGCAGATAGAGACACTGAAACACCTAGACACGCTGGCCACAAACCTAAATATCAA